TGTATTCAGTCTTTTAACTGTTCAGTAAGATGTTATTAGATGTAGGTTTTTGGTAGATTTTCTTTATAAAGAAAGTGCTCTCTATTCCCAATTTGATGAGAGTGGTTTTTTTTTTTTCTTAACTTTATGAATGGGTGTTGGATTTTGTTGAATGCTTTTTCTGCTGCAGTTTATAGATCACAGATTTTTTTTAACTCATTGATATGGTAAATTATGCTGATTGATTTTTCAAATTTTGAACCAGCCTTGCATACCTGGAATACATTCCACTCAATCTTGGCATACAATTCTTTTAATACATTACTGTATTTGACTTGCTAATATTTTGTTGAAGATTTTTGTGTCTAAGATCAGTAGAGATATTGGTATATAATTGACTTTTTTGTATTATCTTTGCCAAGATTTGATATCAGGGAAAAACTAGGCTCAAAAATGAGTTGGGGAACATTTCTTTCTCTTCTGGTTTTTGGGCAAGAAATATGTAAAGTCAATGTTAATTCTTTAAATATTTAATAGAATTCTTTAGTGAAACCATCTGTGTCTGGAGATTTTTCTCAGAAGCTTTTTAATTACAAATTCACTTTCCTTAATTGGTTACAGTACTCTTTGGGCTGTAGATTTCATTTTGACCGAATTTTTGTAGTTTATAGTTTCTCAGGAATTAGTTCACATCTTCTAAGTCTCAAATTAATGAGTTTAAAGCTACTCATTGTATTCTTAGTGACCGCAAAATCTGTAGTGATATCCCCTATTTCATTGCTCTTATTGATGGTTTATTTATTCACTATTTCTTTCAATCTTGTTAGAGCTTTACACTTTTTTCCTTGAAAAACCAGGCTTTTGATCCATTAATTTTGTTTTACTTCTCTCTTTCTTTCTCTTTCTCTCTCTCTCTTTTTTTTTTTTTTTTTAAGAGAAACCGTGAGTGGGGGTGGTGAGTGGGAGAAAGAGAATCTTAAGTAGGCTCCATGCTGAGCATGAAGCCTGATGCCGGGCTCAATTGCAGCACCCTGAGCTCATGACCTGAGTTGAAGTCAAGAGTGGGATGCTTAACTGATTGAGCCACCCAGGCACCCCTAAAAACTGAGCTCTTAAGTAAAAATTAGGATTTTGGAAATTCTATATATGCCACCCTGAGCTGGACAATTCCCATTATTTAGGGATTTTTTGATGAGATATGGAGCTATATTAACATGGTATTTTCTATATTGCATGAGAAAGTATGTCAACATTTTGAAGAGCTGCATAAGTTAGCAAACCAACAAAGTCATGCAGGCATAAGAAATCCACTCAAAGTGTGAGATAGGCTAAAAGTTTTTAATGTAGGAAGGCACCAGAATTTCACTGATAGAGTTACAGATCCCAAATGGCAACTAATCTTTATGAGACTTGCTACTCCTTCAGTTTTGGTGCAGTATCAAGAATATTCAGTTATCTGAAAAGGCTATTAAAATACTTCTCCCTTTTCCAGCTCCATGTTTGTGAGAGGTGAGACTTTTTTCATGTCCTTCAGCAGACACAACATACTTGCAAGAGATTAAATGCAAAAGCACATATGAGAATCTAGTCATCTTTTATTAAGCCAAACATTAAATAAATTTGGGGAAAAAAGTGCCATTCTTTTCAATAATTTTTTTTAATTTGGGAAAATTATTTTTTCAAAGCTTGTTATAGTATGATAACTTTGTTACTATTTTAATGAATTAATAAATATTTCCATAGTTCTCGGTTTTACATTCTTATATATAATAGAAAGATATGACTCATATAAATAAGAATTTGGGGTGTAAAGGGGTCCTGAGACCAGAAAGTCTGCTCACTGTTGCTGTAAAGGAGGTTGGTTTTATGATTTTGTTGATTGGGAAACCCAAGCATAGGAAGCAGGGTTACCAAGTTCAGGAGCTAGAAATGGTTAGCGCTGAGATCCGTACATGGGCGGTCTGGTTTCAGGGTCCTTGCAGTAGTTGCCACCATACACCAGTACTTCTCAGTGGGGAGACTTTACGGTTTGTAACTTGGCCAAGATCAATGGGCCTTATCTGTTGGAACGTTGATATCTATAAGAAGTTCCTTCCCCATATAATTTTCTTGGTCTAAAGTTAAATCTTTACCATTGGGGTACCCTTTGAGTCCCACTTTTGATGTCAGTACATACGTGGCATAAATTCACAGTAAGCGCCTAAGCAGGGCAAGTTAAATCACCTGTGAATTTCTTTCCATGGACTTTTCTGCCTTTTATTTAATCAGAGTTGGACTTCCAGGATTATTTGAAAGAAATACTGTACCCTGTTCAAGAAGAATGTTTGTTATCTCTGATAACTCTTCTTATATTGGTTGGTCCTACTTTTTCGCTACAAACCATAGAATGACAATTTAGTGCATTTCTACTTTGAAATAAAATATTGGAGAGTTGGAAGCTTATTTCAGTTTGGAGAAGTAGAGGAATTGCTTTTATCCCACTGCCTCTTCTTATTATTAATTTATATGTTGAAATATATTAGCACGGTGCAGAATCAAACCAGTACATAAATACAACCATTTATGTTTCTACCATAAGCTTCACTGTAGATTAATCTTACTGAAAGCTTGAATGGTTTCTTAGGGGGAAATATAGGAAGGGTAGGTTTACCCCATGAGCTCTCTTAAATATGCTGTTAATTCGCATTGATTTCAGAGAAAACAGAGATAATCAGTTTGACTTCCCCCTGACTGAATGTATCATCCAGCTGTTTGCAGCACTGCTTAATGGAAACCTGAGGGCCCCTCCTGCTTTCTGGGTTTTCGTGTGCACAGATCCAGATGCCAAGAGAAGACTGAAGACACTACTCAGAGAAAATCCCACACTTCTAGTCAAACTTTTGAGTCCAAAATGATGACTTTATGGTGCGATCTAGGAATATGTACTGGGAGCTTTGTTCTGCTTTCTTCCCTCTGATTATAGTGCCCTCCAAAAGACAAAGGGACAAGAGCCTCGGGAGGGGGTGAGGTGTACTTACGTGATGTGCTCAGGCTCCCCCAAGTCAGCCCCTGACCAAGCTTAGCAGTCACTGCCACTCCACACCAGGCCATCCCTCTCCCTCAGAGTCTGCCCCCGGGTGGCCAGGATGCTCCTAAGCTCTGCTCACCTTTCACGGGCCAGACATACACATGCGCGCACACACACGTACACACACACACACACACAGGCTTGCACAAGCCCACTTCTTAATTGGGGTGGAGATGTGCCGTAATCTAAAAAAATTCTCATTTGTCATCAAGGATGGAATGGTTCTTTAACAAGTCTTCAGATGCCTTTGAAAGCCATGGTGCAGCATAGGCAGCGCTAAGAGATGGACCCAGGCCCTCACATTTCTGTGAGATCTCAGCACCTTGACCCCTGGGAAGCCTGAGTCTAGCTGCTCCGGGCTCTTTGGGCACTGATGCCTTACCTCCTTCCCTGGCTGACTTGTAGACACTTTAGCCACGGGGGTTTTTGGCCATGCCATTGAGGGTCCCACAGGCAGCAGCTTCCTGCTTCTGTCCTCTTACTTCTTGGTATTGCTCTCGGCTGGGTAACCAGCATCACACTCCCTGGACTGTGGCTCCTCGGGGCAGGGACCAGCTGTCTGAGACTCTCAGGGAACGCTTGAGCCAGGGACCACAGGACATTAGCAACCATGAGCTCCAGGCCATGCCTCTCCAGGGCTGGACCCTGTGGGTATGAGGAGGACATGAAGGGTCTTCTGGCTCTCAGAGGGCAGAGTGGCAACTGGCCTTGCCGTGAAACTTGCAGTCCCCCACTAAGACATGCTCGAGAGTATACATGTGGGAAACCCACTATGTTTTGTAGTCCTCATTTCAGTTTTTTAAAAATTATGTTTAAAATGTATGTATTTGTTTAATTGCAGCTACCTTCTGCGCTGAGATTTCTGATACTCATTTATTTTATAAAGCAGTGGTGGAAATATATAAAGTGACATATAGAGAGGTTGGCTGATTTTTTTTTAAGACACACAGAATATGATGGGTCTATCACTGGAAAATATTTATAAATATTTCTGATAAGCTAGGAGAATGAAGCCTGAGAACTCACTCTGGTGATAGAGCTGCCTCCTCCTTCATTTCACCTGTAAACAGCAAGGGCTTCTGTAGGTGGTCCCAGAAAGCACAGTTTGCATCAGCTTGTCCTAAAGCATATGGAGGACTCGCTCCAGAGAGAATTATCTTCTAGGATCATCTCACGTCATTGAAGGGTCACCTTTCCATACTTGTGTATTTAACTGTAGTAGAACATACCTGATCATATTTACATTTTTACCTCAGAAATACACTTGAAATGCACAGCTCTTGCCTTTAAAAAGACAAATATTACTCTTATGAGAAAGCACAACACACTGTGAGATTGAAGCCCCGGCTTCAGTAGGTGTGCCTAATGACCTGCCAGCAGCAGGGATTTGAAGGACTATATTTACCAGAAAAGGATCTTCTACCTGTATTTTTCAGAATAGGTGTTCACAAATGATGCATTATGCCCTGTGCTTTTGTTTCTCACTGGGATTTGAAAAATAAAACTTTCCGTTAGCTGTGAATTCATAAGCTTGGGGCATGAAAATGTTTGAATTTGATATAAAAGAAGTTTTGAAAGGAAGATTAGTGGTTTAAACCAAAAGATTAGTCACCTTGGGAAATTCAGCTGTCGAAAAAGCCGAGTTCAGTAATAAAAGGTCCTGCTCCAGCTGATTGCTCCATTCATGCTACGATTCCTAATCCTTCCCGCCAGACCCTTGCCTGATCGACAGCACTGATTACCAAGGCCTAATAGCACTCATCGTCACTTTACCAGAACGTGTGGGGTTCATCTGCGTTAGACACCCCTCATCTGTGGTGCACTTGGCTCCTTTGCTGTGTGGGAGAAATAATAATTACTCGTATTCATTATCACTTTAAGTGGAGGAGAAAGGTGAGGTCCTAGAACCGATCATGATTACGTGGGCCTACCTCTCTCATTGGCAGAGTCACGGATGAGCTTGATGTTGGACTCTTTTGGCAACCAGCGGTTGATTCCTATCCATTCTGCCATGAGAGAGTTTCTGGTAGCAGACCCATGGTTTTCCATGATGGAGCAGATAATTAAAACCCATGGCGAGCTCAGCCTTCTTCAGGGTAGGAAAACCTGGGGCCACAGGACGGGGTTCTGCTTTACAGCTGCCTATTCCCCGCTTTCCCCCAGAAGTAAATGATCTTTGCTGTGGCAGATGGTTGTGGTCCCCTTGTAGATGAGCAGAAGATTATCTCCATATCAGACAGGTAAAGTTAAATCCATTTACATTATATCAAAACCTTGAAAGTCCATTTGGGAAAGTGACCTCTACATCATAAAATGGTGATGTTATCTCAAGAGAGCATTATGTGCATTCCCCTCCTTTGGCTGGCCCTGAAGTCTCTGTTATCCAGACAGACGAGACTCTCTTGTTCATAACTGATTTCTATTCTATTTAATAGTATTTGGAAATGGAAATTTCAGAGTTTTTCATAGTAATTCATCCCAGGGTCTTACAGTGTTCATTTTGTTAAGGACAAAGAAGCTGGCTTAATAATGTCTACTCATTTTTCCCAAGAAGAGGGAGAACTGTTAGTCATTATTTGGAAAAACACACATGTGCACACATACACACACACACACACACACATATACACACACACATACGTAAGTACACATGTACACAAACCCCTCAACAAGCATGAGGTAGACCACTGACTTTCCCCCAGCTCCAAGTTTGATGATTTATTTTAGAGGTAACTTAATCATTTTTGTCTTTATGGATCTTTTCAGACTTTTCTCTGTTCTGTTGAAGGTATATAAGGATCACATGCTTTTGTCAGGGTCTCTGCAGACCTGAATAACCAACCCTTCTGTCTCTTATTGGTCACCAAAGCTTTTGAGCTCTGTTGCCTTGATGCCCTCTGAATTTCATGATCTGCATGTTTCAGTGGTAAATAGTTCTGGGCTCAGAGCAATAACCCTGTTATTCTGCACACTGATCTGTGTCGTGTAATGACTGGCGCCTACACACGTAAGATCCCAGAGCACGGACGCATTTGCCTCCCTTTCTCCTACCATAAATATTAGTGTCTGCACTAATCACACTTCTGTGATCATTTGGATCACAAGATATTTGCTTGCCAGCTGTATGAAACTATTCTTTAAGAAGATTTCTTTTCCTGCTTGTTCTGAATATGCAGCGTAATTTGTACAGAGTATAGACGTGTTTACTAAACTATGAATTCTAGGAAAAAATGAATTATGGTATCATTTACATTTAAAATAGTCATATATTGATACTCTGTCGATTGTAAAACCAAATTCACATCCTTGAGTGTCTATTTTGAAGCCTTTTTTCTTTCAAAAGATGTATTTTCTATTAGTCATTTTTGTAGGACACGGGAGCCATATGAAGTGGTTAAATATGGTGCACATGGCAGGGCACTAATGAAGCCCTGAGCTTAGTCAGTCTCAAGGTTTCAAAGCTGTAGTCATCACACTTCAGCCTTATGAGGCCATGAAAGCAGCCACTTTGAGCTGAAGTATGTAGCAAAGAGGGACCCTGGACAGGCTGTCACTGCTGGTGGGCAGCCTGGGGATGCCCTTGCAGTGTAACTCGGAGAGGGTGGTGTGCCGCAGCACCTTGGGACAGGACGAGGATTGACTGCTTTCCTGTCTCTCAGTCACAAATTTCAGTCACATTGCCGGACACTTTGCCACCTCTTGTCCTGCATCACACCTAGCCTGTATCCTCTTATGGGACAGCAACTGTGCCTTATTCTCATTGTATTCCCAGCACTAATAACAAAATGTGTGTGTGTGTGTATGTGTGTGTGTGTGTGTTGAACAGAAAATCATGCAAGTCAGAGACCTAAGAATCTTTCTTGATACCTCCCTCCCTCAGTCCCATATTTAGTCCGTCACTAATTTTCTATTTTGCTATGTAAATACTGTTTTAAAGCTACTCATTTCTCTCCATCTCCACCCTACAACCACTACTGTTACCTTGGCCCAACCCCCCATCACCTTTGAGAGCATTTGCTGGGTCACCACAGTGGCCCTAAGTGGTCTATTCCCACCACTCTGGCCCCTCTTAATTCCTTCTCTGTAGTGTGGCCAGATGAGCTTTTAACAGCACAGCCCCTTCAAAGGCTGTCTGCTGTCCTTCTGTAATAAAGGCTAATCATCATTATCATCATAATACTGGTAGTACTTTGACCAAGGCCATTGAATAGTGGTCATACAATTTATCATTCACATAAGGACACTTTTGAATGTGAAGTGGTGCCATTGAAAATTCTACAGGGATGACATGGAAATAAGGATCTTTGCTTGCCTTGCCTGCAACAACCTATAAGAAGGGCCTAGACCTTGTTCACCCTGCTTCCATTTGCTCTGTCTTCCATGCGCCTATAGATCTGCTTGTTTTTCAGTGTTTGGTACTTCCCAGGGTTACTCACTATGTTTGCTACCATCACAGGGCCTTTGCACATGATATTACTTGAGTTTTTGAATCCTACTGCTCTTTAGCTTCTGCATAACATCCCATTGACTAGGCTAAATCTTTTTTTATAGGCTCTTACCACATTCATGAGTGCAATTTAACATTAGTTACCTGAATGAATAGTAGTAAGAGATTGGCAATATTCTACTATCCATGTACCAGTAATAGAATGTAGTGACCAGCACAATGGCAAAATAAACTCTGTACAGTTGGCCCTTGAACAACATGGGTTTGAACTGTGTAGACTCACTTATACATGGGTTGTTTTTTTTTACAGTACAATACTATAAATGTATTTTCCATATTATTTTCTTAACATCTCTTTTCTCTAGTTTACTATATTATACAGTATATAATACATACAATATACACAATATGTGTTAATCAACTGTTTCTTTTATTGATAAGGCTTCTGGTCAACAGTATGCTATTAGTAGTTAAGTTTTTGGGGAGTCAAAGTTGTATGTGGATTTTTGACTGTGGGGATTGGTGCCCCTAACCCCTGTGTTGTTCAAGGGTCGACTGTGTTTAAGTAATATGTATTGGGGTGCCTAGGTTCAGTTCGTTGAGCATCTGCTTCTTGATTTCGGCTTTGTTCATGATGTCAGGATCCTGCGATCGAGCTCCGCGTTAGGCTCCACATTCAGTTTGGAATCTGCTTGATTTTCTTTCCCTCTACCCCTTCCCCCACTTGTGCATGCACATTTTCTCTCTCTCTCTCTTCTCTCAGATAAGCAAATCTTAAAAAATTAAATTGTATATATTAAGGACAAAAAAACCCAGTTATATGTACTACAGTTTAATGTAAAAATACCATCTTAGTTTTAACACTGTTAATATGCTATTGATGCTTAAATTGTTAAAAATACAGTAATTTAAAAGCCCAGTTTAATAATTCCACAAATTTATCCAAACTTGAAGTTAAAATGCGGGTTCTTGAGATTTCCTTAAGGAGACACCCATGGCATTTAGAGTCATTATGTATACTATTTAGGGATTCCGTATCAGATTATCTGAATTTAAATGGTGATTTCACAACTTACTGTCTGGGTGGCATTGAGCAAGTTAGTTTCCTTGGGTCTCCCTTTACCCATCTGTAAAAGGTATAAAATGGTGACATCTTTCTCATGGGACTTTGTGAAAATTGGATAAGGTAGTGCATACAAAGCGCTTAGCACAGTTTCCAGCACATAATAAATGCTCAGTGACTACCAACTATAACTGTTATCTGTGTTGTTGTTATTCTTTTTATTTGTTCAGCAAATATTTTATTCAGTATCTACTTTGCCTCTGGCATTGTTCTAGGTGCTGGGATTCAGAAGTAGTCAAGAAGAGGGCATGGAGTGTGTTGGGATAACCCATAAGCATTCTTAATTTCGAGATCTTGTAGGTGTTGTGACTGAAACAAATGTCATGGTTTGTTGGGGCATGGTGGTGGGGAGAGGTTTTGTCAGCTGGAAGGATGAGAACGAGTCATCTCATACAGAGCAAGGGGTATGTGGGGATGGGAAGGAACACACAAGAAGGCCCCACATAGGAAGAGGCTCAACCTGATTTCAGAGTTAAAGAGTGTTCATGTGTAAGTAGAAAGGGTCTGGGGCGAGGGAGGCAGGTGTGTCAGGGGATTGTATTCGTAAAGTAAGAAACTAGAATTCTGTTTATTTTAGTGTTGAAGAAAGAGAAACCCCGTGTCCTAATCAGGGTCATGTAGAAAATTAGTGATGGGCCCAGAACTAGAAGCTAAGTGTCCTGTGTTCATATTTATGGTTTTTTTTAATGGGTTTTTCTTACTAATTTTTTTTTAATTTTATTTTTTATAAACATATAATATATTTTTATCCCCAGGGGTACAGGTCTGTGAATCGCCAGGTTTACACACTTCACAGCACTCACCATAGCACATACCCTCCCCAATATCCATAATCCCACACCCCCCAACCCCCCTCTCCCCATCAACCCTCAGTTTGTGAGATTGAGAGTCACTTATATTTATGTATTTTTAATTATTGAAGTGTACATAGAGAAATTGCACAAATCTTACACAGAATAATATTCTATGAATTTTCATAAAGTTAAGTGCCCTGTGTAATCACATTGAGAAATAGGTCCTGGCCTGCTTGCTGTAAGCCATGCTGTCACACCCCTACACCATCCCTATCCCCCAGAGGTGACATTTATCCTGACCTCTAAGAGCACAGTTTAGTTTTGCCTGGTTTTGAGCTTTCCTGGACTTCGGGAGGGAACCATATGCTGTAACTTCTTTCTGTCCGGCTTCTTTCATTCCACATGTGTCTGAGATTCAGTGGTGGGTGGGGGGGTGTGTGTGGCAATAGTTGTTGCATTCCCATTGCTGTGTAGGATTTTAGTATATCAATACACACAGGTTTTCAGTTTTACAGCCTGGTGGAATGCTCTGAAGAGACAAGGGGTATGTGTGAGCTAGAGAAAGAGATGGAAGCTGGATGGCGAGTCCTGTCATTTATGTATGCATGTTAATCTTGCTTATCCTAGTTACTTTTTTTTAACCAACTGAAGGTTATATGAAGAAATTTCTTTTAGAGCCTCCATGTAGACCCTTGGTTGTTACTTTGAAAATATAATGCCTAGTTAAAACCAAGACTTGCATGACCAGAGACTGCCCTTTATGCCCCTTTGTTAAACAGATATTAATCATAAATGGAAATAACTTGGATGAACTTGTCCGATGTTTTCCAATGATGCTGATCATTGAGCTTTCAGCCTTCTGAAATATCATCTAAGGTATTACATGTTTCTAAGGGGTCAAGGATTATTGGCTACTTAATTGGGCCAAATAGCCATCATTTATACTTCTTTAAAAGTAGGTCTGTTTAAATAAGTGATTGATTAATTGGACGATTGCCATTTTCATGTGTACTTCATTCATTCTCTCTCTTTCTCTCTTTTTAATATTTCAGAAGATGTTGTGCCGTATTTTAAAACAGAGCCAGGCCTACCACAGATTCACCTGGAAGGCAACCGCCTTGTTCTCACCTGCCTTGCTGAAGGGAGCTGGCCTTTAGAGTTCAAGTGGATGCACAATGACCGTGAGCTCACCACCTACACCAGCGAATATAAGTAATTGACTGCTTGAAAATAAGATTCCATTTCAAGTTGATGTGTTTAGAATATTTGCCTTGTTGGCCATAATAGCACAAAGAATGAAAATATTTTAATGATTTTCTAATGCATTAAGATTAAAGGAATAGAATTAATTAGAATGTGATTTAATATTCTGATCTACATTGTATTTACACCTAGGAAGTCTATCATTATATTTGTAAAAGGAAGCCCGTTAGTGAAATTACCAGACTAAAAAAAGCTATAGTTACAGAGGAATGCAAATAACAGCTTTAGCATGATAAATTTGCTGTCTTGTGGCAACAGCCCCACCCACCAATATTGTTCCTATTTAAGGAGCATGAATTTTTAAACAGAGATCTTTAAATCTGTAGCTTCTGGAGCTCTGAGCAGTCAACAGAAAATTTACCTGGCTAACTTTTAGAGTCAGGATGGGAGAAGATGAAGCTGTGGGGGAGGGACATGAGCAGATCCTCTCATTCCAGCAGCAAAAAGGAGGTTGCGCCAGGTGTGGGGTGCAGGAGTGAGCATGATGCTGGGGGCAGAGAACAAGCACTGGGGTTGGGGGAGGCCGAGATGAGGTCACATGCAAGCTGTGGCTTCTCCCAGGGCCAACAGTACCAGCTTCTAACCCTCCTGGTCTCCTGGCAGGGCTCGGGTCTTTCAGGTTTAAACCTATTTAGCTTCCATTTCTATGGGAAGGTTATGGTAACAGTCGCTATAGTTCTGAGTAGGACAGAGAGTTAGTGACTGCCTAAAAAGTCCCAGAGGTCCCCATATCAGCAATATCATGCTCTTATTTAATGGAAATAAGAGAATTGGTTGTCCAGAGGTATTTTAAATAGAGTAATGGGCTTCTCAACATGGCTCGGGGGTGGGGGTCATAGCCCATCACTCACTCCCTTTGAAAGTCAGAAGTTAGGGGCATCCGGATGGCTCAGTCAGAAGATCACGTGACTCTTGATCTCAAGGTTGATCTCTACACTCACGTTGGGTGTAGAGATAATTTCATAAATAAGCCTTAAAAATTTTTAAAAAACAGTCAGAGGTTGTAATATGATGGCCCGTGAACCACATCCAGCCTGCCCATACTATGTGGTATGTCTGTATTTTAAAAATCAGTTGAAAATATATATGGATATACACATGGATATCTCTCTTAATTGCTTGCCAGCATTTAACACTTATAAGATTTCATATAAAAATCCACTTTCTGGTCCCTCTTAAACAGTCAGAAGGCCTGGCCACCTGGCTCTGCTGACCTACACAGAAGAACTGTGCTTTGCTCAGTTCCCTTATCTACCTGCTCTTTGTAGACATAGAAGTTTGTGACCTCCTCTTTCACTATTAGGCCTATACTGTCAGAGTATCTGCTGTTGTAGGAACAACTAATCATAATAGTTCAGAGTATGTTGACATCAACAGACCCAGGTTTGAATCCCAGCTCACCACCAGTTAGCATCAGCTAACTCAGGCAAGCCAGGAATACCTTCAAAATGGGGATGATCATACCTCATTTGTGGTGTTATGAACACTGAAGGGCTCTAATGCAGGTAAAATGGTATATTTTCTGGCCCACAAGCAATCTGCTAATAAATACGAGTTGACATTGTATATTAGTATAATGAGGTGTTAGGGATTTAGTTTTGTAGGAGGGGCGTAAGAAAGGAGAAGACAAGCAAGCTTACAAAGGAGAACGATGTGTGAGTAATGGGCTTTAGCAGCAGGTGTCTTGAATTCAGATATTTCTATTCAACTCCTGTGTGTCATTTTGGACAAGTGCCCTAACCAGTTTGATCTTGATTTTCTCATCTGTAAAATGGGTGTAATAGAAGCCGCCGAAGAGAGTTCTCATAAAAATGAAATGACATAATGCTTTGTATGCCCCAGGAAGAAAGGAATGAAGTTGCAGAAGACTCCAGATTGTTCTTCCTATAAAAAGTAGTAATATGGATGATCTATAATGATGGTCTTCAAATTGGGGAACATGGCCTTGGATAGTGGCAAAGGAATTGCTTTCTAGATATTCAGTTTCCATATGTGTCTTTGCTGATGTTGAGCTGGCTGAGAACATGCCTCTGTGTGGGCACTATGGTTCTCTTTTCCTGCCCTCTTTGTGCTTTCTCCCAGTTCACAAAAGGAAGGCTCAATTTCCCTGAATCTTCCTGTGGAATTGCTTCTCCAGGGTGCAAGACAAGTGCGTAGTTCAGAATTTTCGGCTTGAACAAAATGTTGGCCTCTTTTAAACAACCCCAGAAGAACTTCTTTCCTTTTACATATTCTCTTTAGGGGAAAGTAGGATACTAGAAATGGGATATTTTGATCAGTTTTGGGTTTTTAAAAATTTAGATATGTTGTGTAGATGAGCAGCAGGAGCTATACCAGTTTTAACAACCTCCCCCCTCCTTTCCATTCTCCAGCTACTGTCAGAGATCATATTGTGCTTCAAGGAACAGGTAATGAGAGCAAAGCAAAGAGTGTGTGCAAGGTAGACCCACGGCAGGCAGGGGCATCTTGTTTTATCTAGGTAGCAAACCTACAGCTGTGCCCTGGGGCTTGTCCCCTTACACAGAGTAGGACAAGAGTATTCGGGATTTGTTAGAAAGAAGAATGAAGTTGAGAAATATTCTTTTATGAAGCACAGTCTGGCTGCATTTTCCCTTCCTCTGAGATAAGAGCGTGGTGAGGCCTCAATTGGAGATCTGAGGAAGAATGAGGTAAAAAGTGCTGTTTACTTTGATCAGATCCGTGTTCTATCTTGATATAGAAGGAACATGCACAAGAGGAAAGTTAGGGCTTTGTATCTTCTCAAACATTTATTCAGAGGACACCTTCATTAACTTTGGCAAAGAAGATTATTTAATATTCTCAATCCATACCCATTTTTTTATTACTTTCCTGTGTTTTGCTTGCCGCTGTGCTCCAGCCTCTTCTCTACTTGTTTATTTGTTTTTCCTGTGTACTCATTGGATTTAAATGAACACCGAAATGACCACAAATACGTGGTCAATACCTTCTCTTTGTTGTTAATTTCTATCCAATTCTGTGTATTCTAGTGTTAAATAACTTCCCAGTCAATGAAATTTAAAATAATTGAAAAAACAAAAACAAAACCTCAGCCACTTTCCTTTTATTAAGAGACATTGTCTTTCTAAATTTTTAATGCCTAATAATTGTATTTCAAAATTAACACATTTATGTTGTTTTGATTAACTGTAATAATTGCAATGAACGTGTAATACAGAAGACTTTTTATAAGCACTTAGGATCTTTTGATCAAAGGACATCCTGTTTAAGTTGCCATTTATATGTGTATTTTTATTTCAGATAAGTATGTTGGATAATCAATAAGTATCTTTCAGGCATGAAAATAGGTTAGAGCTTTACACAGTGGCAGTATCGTAGCCAATGAGGTTTACCCGAGGCGTGATTATTGCTAATTGAAAATAGGTCAGAATAAAATTCTATGGGGTAAATAGATTAACAATTCAAGTTCAAAGAGTAAAAAATAAAAAAGAACAATATGAAGGTTCTATCTGTTAAAGAGTTCATTATTAAAAATGGATAATGTGGATTTCAAAATCATTGTTTAGATTCCACTGGATACATGTAAAACAGCAGGGTAACAGTTTTGTTTAAAATGCTACATCAGGGTCTCCTGGGTGGCTCAGTCAGTTAAGCATCTGCCTTCGGCTCTGGTCATGATCCCAGGATCCTATAAGTGAGTTTGGCATGGGCTCCTTGCTCAGCGGGGTTGCTGCTTCTCCCTCTGCCTGCCACTCCCGTGGCTTGGGGACGCTCTCTCTTTCTCTCAGACAAATCAATAAAATCTTAAAAAAAAAAAAAAATGCTAGATCAGGGGTGCCTGCATGACTCAACTCAGTTAAGTCTCTGATTCTTGGTTTCAGCTCAGGCTCTAATCTCAGGGTCCTGGAATCAGGGAATCCTCTTGTGTATACTCTCTGGTTCTCTCTCTCTCTCTCTCTCTCTCACACACACACACACACACACATAAATAAATCTTTAAAAAATTGCTGAATCATACACCATGCCATTATTATACATGCAACTATTCAGATTTATGATGAAATAGTTTTGGTGTTCACTTTAAAATACACAAAGAGGTGGGTTTGGTTTTTTTTTTTTTTTTTTTTTTTTTTTGCATTGCTCTTTGCATTAGCAGATTTACCTGTTAATTTGGCACCCTCTGGATAACCCACAGGAAGGCAAAGCATTGTGGGTCTTTGAAGCAAGATTGCATGGGCCGTTCATTATACATGGATCATTACAATGAGACACATGCTTCATTCCCATTTCACTAGAAACTTAGTAAGAAGAAATGGGTTATTCTAAAGCAAGAATGGTTTGGGGTAGATGTGATAAATTATATTCTGTTCACTGAGGGCTTCAGACACTCAGATGGGTTATCAAGGATCCATTGTATTTTGTCATCATTTTTTTTAGACATAAAACCTGTCCCAAAAATCTCATGCTATTTTTTTAAATTACTCTTTCATCTACTTCCTTCCAATAAGCACCTTCAGTTGTCATATGTTAACCTTCAGGAGACCATTCCCAGTCTCAAATTGAAAAACATGGCTACTTTATGAAAATGGTAGCTGTTTTCTCACTGAAATTGAGTCCTTCTCCCCCTACCCCCACTTTGTGTCAATAGAAAATAATAATCCTATAAAGGGCACATTGTATAAACTCAGCTTTTCTAGCTTTGACCAAAAATAACATTTTCTTTGCTGCTTGTGTTGCAAATTGCACAACGAATTTCAGTGAGTTTCAGATGATTTTCATATTAATGCTTGTATCCACATTTAGGCAGAGGTATCTGTATTGGCAAAATTGTAGTAGTTCAGCAATTAAACCAAGTTTACATAGCTGATATAGGCAGATTTTTTTTTTTAGAAAATATTTATTTTAAATTATTTTCTACTTTGAGATAAAAAATTATATTCAATATGAATAGATAGATATCTAAGCCAGTA